CTTTTTAATGGAATTCGAAGATTTTCTTCTAAAATTTATAAAGGGGATAAAAATGCAAAATTAGCAGAGTCAACCTAGCAAAGAGGGAGCCTCTCCTTACTAGTACAGTCGTCCCCCCTTATCTGTGTGTGGGGGGGTATGTTTCAAGATCCCCAGTGGATGCCTGAAAACGTGGATAGATATACCGCTTTTTTGTTTTCTATACATACATGCCTTTTCACTTAAAGCACTTTTCAGCTTCTCTTCAGCATATCTGAATTGCCAGCATCACTACTCTTGAGCTTTGGGACCATTATCAGGTAAAATAAGGGTGATTTGAACACAAACACTGCCATTCCGTGACAGTTGATCTGATAACCCACACAGCTACTAAGTGACTAATGGGTAGGGAGTTTTTATACCATAGAGCTGCTGGACAAAGGGGTAGTTCACATCCCTGGGTGGGACAGAGCAGAATAGCGTGAGATTTCGTAACGCTACTTAGAATGGTGCCCAATTAAAAAATTTGTGAATTGTTTATTTCTGGAATTTTCCATTTAACATTTTTGGACTGTGGTTACTAAAAACACAGAAAGCAAAGCCGTAGATCAGGGGGGACTACTGTATTAACGCATACTATAAGTCTATAGTAATGAAAACCAGTATAATAAATAAGTATGGAAATAAACAGAAAGGACAATGGAACAAACTAAAACTCAGTAATAGACCCTTGCATATATGAAAACTTGGCATATAATTTAAAAAGGCACCCAAAATTAATGGGAGAAGTTTTGATTTACTAGATGGTCCTGGGAAAACTGCATCACTAAATGAAGAAAAATAAAGCTGGACCCCTACATCACACAGCATACAAAGGTGGACAACAGTTGGATCATAAATGAAAAAATGAAAGGTAAACCAATAAAGCTAATAAAAGAAACCGTAGGAGGATATCTTTGTGACTTAGGGGCAGGGGAATATTTTATAAGAAGCCCTTCAAAACATAAATGTAGGCAAAAAGTAGATAGGTTTGACCATTAAAAAAAGGTTTTCTGTTCAATAAAGGATGCCATAGACAGTTAAAAGACAGGTAAACACACTAAAATACCTGACACATCTAAAACTGATGAGATAATGGTCTATAACAAAAAGATGATAAAGGAACTGAATAACGAGCATAGGTGAGCAGATAATTCACAGAAAACTATAGCCCGTCCTGTGGTAACAAGGAACTGGAGGCTGGAACCCAGGTTTCCACCTCCAGGGGGACGGATATGTAAGATGTGGCGGATGCACACTGGACTACTATGCAGCCATAAGAAGCAACACACAGAATGTACAAATAGCAACTTGGATAAATCTAAGAAAAGTAGAAAAAGTAGGAAACAGCAAGATTGATAGCACAGGACTGTGTGTACATTTAAATTGCATACACACAAAATAACAGTTTAGAGGGATGAACGCATAAGGGACACATATCAAGAAAGAGTGGGTGCCTATGCGTCAGAGGGGAGTGGGGACTAAGGAGGGAGACACCTAATTTATAATACAATGAGGGAATGAGTTCTTGTACTGACGATGATGACCATGTATGAATTCAGGAGCATGATGAATGCATCGCTTTGCATTTTTAGACCAGTTTCCTTTTTACTTGTTAAGCCAGGGGTTTGATACCTGTGATGAAAAAAATTTAACTGATATTTATTTGTGCCTGTCCTTTTAAATATTAAAAGATTCTTTTTTTAAACATTGTGGCTTCACGTACATATTTTGGGAAATTATTAGGAGAACAAGAGGAAGCAGGAATTTAAGAAGAAAAAGGGCAGAAAAGAGACAGAGTAAGAGTAGCCACTATTAGCTCTTATGTGCTAGGCACTTTGCTAGGTGCTTTCCATACCTTGTCTCTAATTCAACAACAAACCCCGCCTTTGGGTATTATCACTGTAGCAATTAGGAAACAGACTGACAGGAGCTAAGCTTCTTGTCTAAAGTGCCACAGCTTCATAGTAAGGACTTGGGAACCCAAGTCTGTCTCATGTCAGCTCATTCTCCTTCATGCTATGCCACCCTACCAGAAAAAAAACAGTGGGGAAATAATGAAGGGACACACACAGGGACACACGGGGAAAAGGTAAATATACAGAGACAGAAAAAACAAGCCATGCCAAGGCACATATTGAGGAAGAGCGATGGTTTTTGAGATAAGGACACTCATGCCATTCCAGGGTATACCTGCATCAGGAGGGGCTGTCACTGTCCGTTAAAAAGCTCGTGATCTCACTTGTAATGTAACTCAGCCCTTGGTGCACCGGGAATCAGCTCTTTTGCTTTTTTCCCCCCAATTTTTAAAACTTTTAGATAAAAGATGATTTTTCTCAAGCATTTTTTTCAAAGCTTACTGTGATCTGAAGCAATGTCAGATTCTACACAGACTCTCAGATCTAGTGTGTGAGGTCACTATTATCCATGTCAAAATGAACTTATCGTCTGGTTGATATGCATACACAGACTCTAAAAATAGGAAGGATATTCAAGGTTGACCTGTGATAGTAATCTAAACGCCCATCAATAAAGAATGGATACAATCAATCGTCATACCACACTATGGAATACTATGAGCTGTCAAAAAGAATCAGACAGACCTCTATGTACTCATGTTGAGATAATCTCCAATATAATTGGGGAAAATGCTAGGTACAGTACAGCAGATATGTATGCTAGATTTGTTCAAAAATCAGATACATATTTATATTTGAAAATGGTAGCAGTGGTTGCTCTGGGGGGGACCATGGGTAGGAAAGAGGTGCTTTCCACTGTCTCCCCCATGTACTAAAATAATTTGGTACTTTTATATATTTTTTTATCAAGTACAAGAATAATCTTTTCCCAAAAAAACCTTCATTTTAAACCAAGCAGTTCCTTGTGTCTGCCTCCAAGCCAGATCCAATTTGGGGATCTAGGAGGGTCTGAGTGGAAGAAATACATTTTCTTTTTTCTTCTCCCAGTGACAGGACAAGAGCCTCCTTACCATTTCTTTCTCCCTTTCTTCAACCAAGTCCACCTACTTGTTTCTTTAAAACAAAACTAGTAACCGAAAAAATTTACTCATGTTATCCACGTTCAACAGAAAATTTAAGAAAAAGGATAAGGAAAAAGCACTCCTTCTGCCACTCTTTATATTTCGGAGTGTATGTCCTATGTGTTTTTTTGTGCCTAAGTGCATTTACATTTATAACTCTTTCATTTAATACATGCACATCTTGGTCCTATCTTAAAATTTTAAATTTAATTATTATTTTTACTTAACCAATGCCCTCTAACATGGCATTAGACTATTTCAAACTTTTATGAGCAACAGTGAGATGAATATCTTTGTGCAGAAACCTTTGTACGAGTCCATTTTACCCCAAGAATTTGCAAAAGCAAAGTAGCTCTGTCACCAATTTAACTTCACCTTCGATCTCCATCTATAGCTGCTGCTCCATGCACCCTTTTCATAACCAGCCACAGACACTGCCCTGTGCCAAAGCTCAGGTCTGAGACGATTTCTTGCCTGCGTGGACAAGTGTAAAACATACTTCCTGCTTCGTATTTTTTCTGTACTCCCTTGAACCCCTCCACCTTTTGGACACCTGACCCTCAATTCAACTCTTACAACTTGGCTGCATTTCTCTAGCTGCTGGCTTCTTGACTCTCTAAACCAAGAGAATACTACTTCTCTCTTGGTTTTTCTGACATCCTTAACTCTTTGGATTGTGGTTTTTCTTAAAAACTTTCTTTAAAATAAAGAATAGAACTGGCACGAGCGATAAAAAAAGCTAACACTTGCCTAGTGCTTATGTGTCATTGTGCTGAGTATTTTTACATGACTTATATAAATAATTTAATGTTAATTGGAGTTACATGAGAAAAAGCATTCCATGGTCAAATAAGGGGAAGTTATGGGTTTACAAAAAATCTTAACAATGGCACCTTTAAAATGTTAATATACATTTACAAGATGGCCATAGCATAGTTAAGAGTAGTCATTATTTAACCACAGATTTCTTGAGGAGCTACTACTCTCAAGAGCACACTTTCACAAAACTGTCCTCAAATGTTATTGGTTTTTTAATAAAGGCACTTGCAGCCCGCCCTCCTCTCTCATGCGTGAGGATATGCCTTTTAAACATTCTTCATCTAATGCCAACACACTGAAAACACACTTAAAGTGAAAGGAAACATTAAAAGCACTCATACCACCACTGTATTTTCGGACATACGTCCTTTTCTATATACACTTATATATGGCAGACTGTTCAATTTCTTGGACGAGCTGCTTTCTAGCTCTTCATCCTTTTCCCACTCCCCACCTACATTTTTAAGGTTGAAATCTTTTTCTACACTTTTCTTCTATTTAGTAATACTTTTCATAGAAGTGCTCTTACAAGTAGAGCTTTAAAAATCAGTTTTGCAGATAATTCCCGAATCTACATTTTAAGCATTGCTCCTGGTAGCATCCTGGAAAACACACACACACACACTCCCCCCCTCCCCCCCCCAATAACCCAAAGGGAGAATGTAGTAAGCCCGCATTCCAGGACTCCCACATTCTATTCTGGCTGCTTCTCTTCATCCCAAGGCACACACCTCACACCAGCCTGCTCTACTTCCTGCTTCTTCAGGGTCACTGGGGACAGTCCCTTTTCCTTCTTGGCCAAATCCCACTCATCCGTGGAGCCCAGCTCAGCCGCCATCCACCTGACAGCCTTCCCGGATTGCTCCGTCCAGCTTCTGCCCTGCTCTGACAAGATGCCAGGTGGCAATGGAGCACACCTGTGGGACAAATTTTGAACAGTTATCTTTTTCCTTTGCCATGTGATTGCAAACTGTCAATATATTGAGGGTGGGGGCTGTGCCTTTTCCTTCTGCATCCTACAGTGCCTAGCACAGTGCGGTACAGACGATAGATACTCCACTGCTGCTGAAAGAATGGTATCAAAATCCAACAACTTAGCCCAATAATACAACAGACACAAGAATAATATGTACATTCCTCTTTATTTAATACAACACGTGACACATACAAAAAGAAAAAACAATCATGTAAAAGGCCCTGTCACAAAGGACAGACAGGAAACATCTACACTAAATCAAATAAGGCTCCTGCTTCAAAACAGGGGTTTGCTAGCTACACCGGGAATATGAGCAAGGCTGTTGCAAAAGAAAAGGAGAGAAAGGAAAGGAAAGGAAAGGAAAGAAGTGCCCTGCACTGACGGAGCATATCCGTGGGGTTAATTTTCTAAATTCACAGATCCATATTTAGGAATGTTGAAGCCCTCTCACAGATCCAGAATTCATCAGGGTTTTAGGAAATGTGTAATTTTTTTGTTTTTCTGGTTAAAAAAATTGGCCTGTCCTTCTTAGAAAATAGTGAGGAGCTCTCTAAACACTAGAGACCCGAAACCACCCATAGTTTGGAGAGCTTTACCATTCAGTTTCAAAGGGTGTGTAGAATTAGAAAGCGAAGGCCAGGTAGCAGTGGGAAGAAGACTTGAACTCCTCAGTCAGTTCCTGGTAGCTCCTGTCTAATTAACCACTGGGAAAGACAGAATGGGAAAACCTAGGCTCAGTGCAGGGTTCAGTAGCAGCAGTTTGTCCATATTCCTGCTCTGATGAGAGCCGGAAATTAAACAAGCACCAGTTCGTCTCAAAAGAGCCTTATACAAACACACACACATACATACCCACACACATTCACAAGTCATCACCCCCCTTTTATTTAAATTTATTATTATTATTTTTTTTTTACTAAAATAATACAAAAAAGGGGGACAGGTATATTTACAAAAATCCATGGCTGGTACAGTACATAATTTTTAAGACACACTAAATGCTACAATCTTTCAGGTCCTGAGATTATTACAAATATCAACTCAAAGCTGTGTTCAGGTCCAGTTTTAAAGGAAGAAAAAAACCAAAAAACCCCAAATATTAAGTCACACGCTTATTTAAAATACAGCATATCCCTTCAAGTTAGCAAAAATGCACCTCCCTATCAACAAATGCAATACAATAACCAGTGCTTTCACCCAGAGGAGCAGCAATTATTCGGGCTCCTTCCATCAAGGTTGGTTGTAAAACATGCTGGCATCTCTATTGAGGGTGGAGGTGGCTAAAGGAAGAGGAAGATGTGTAACCGGAGGGAAGTTCCTCTATCGAGTGAACATACACTGTATCAATAAGTCCTGGTTTTCCTTCTGTTACCAAACAAAAGTCTTTCCCTTATCAAATTTATACCGTAAAGGTTGGAAATATGTGCTTAGCCAGACTAAAAATCAGAATCCTTATTTCTGATCAGTTATAGTGAATAGGTCTGAAGTCCCACAATAGTTTTTACAACGGCGAATAAAGTTTGTTTCTTGTAATGAGAGAGAGAAAACACTCTTCGCTTAGTTACCTTGGTAGATTTGACTAACACATTATTTGGGGCACAAAATTTTCACCAGCCAGAGATTTCCTTTCCTCTTCTTTTAAGCTTGACAATGTTTAGCAAGCTTCAGATTTACATACACTTCTTAAGAACCATTTGTATTTTTGATACTTTCTATAATTTTTCAATGACAGCCAACAAAGGACAGTACAAAGCTGGAATCCTTTCTCTGGAGGCTGGTCGTGGATCAGAGGAAATTACTTGGGAACCTACCTCTACTGGTGGAAGGGGCCTCTGTTTATCTGAAAGTCTCAGAAGGTATATGTAATTAATTATGTAGGCATCGCCAGGATTTTTTAAATGGGCCAAAGTTGGCCAACTTTCCAACTATCTAAAAACAGTGATACCTTTGTTAACTGAGAAGAACTTCTCTTTTAGTGCCTCTGGCCAAAATTGGGGTGATCCTTGGTGATTTTGCAGGTATGGGGAAGAAAACCCAGTGTGCTGGCACAGAGCACACCACCCCAGCAAGCAGCAGAGATAAGCAAACAATGAGGAAAGTTTATGGCTGCAAGAATAGAAAATATAAGATAGCTTAGATCTGACAAATTAAGGGCAGGCTGTCACATAGGAAAAGATGCCAACTGGCTTGCCTTGGGTACTAACTCCTCAAGGTGCTTAGAGGCTAGACAGAGCTGTTGACTTCAAAAACAGAAGGATTTCTGAGTTATCTCAGGTAATCGTCTTCTTGTTTGAATTTAATTAGGTTTCCATGAGTGTTCCATTATAAAGTATTTCAAAACTAGATTTAAGGTAAAACAGAATTATTAGGAAAATGGGAGCGATAATGTAGTTTCTGAGAAACATAAAATTGGTACTAAGGATTCATATGGCCTATTTGATGCAAGCCTTTGCAAAGTAGGTTTATTCCAGGGTAGTATGAAAATAAGCAAGGCAGAGGAGTATGAGAACTAAGAGCCCCTAACAAAGACCTGCACCTCTTCTGAAGGACCTTGAAAAGTATCTGGAGGAAGCCATGACATGTGGATACTATCACATTATAGAGAAACCTATTGTTCACTACAAAGGAGAAGAGAAAAAAAATTCGTTTCATCAGTGATAATTCTAAGCCCTAAAAAGACAGACCCCCTGAATTATACTACTAAGATTTCTAAAGTATTCTTGACCAGTTTGGATAATAGTTCGGAAAAGTATCAGAAATTTAAGTACTAACCCACTATGAACTGAAAATATGTAAGAAAGATTGAGAAGTATTACAGTATGAGGAAATTAAAGATCACAAACCGCTACTTTCAAGCAAATGATACTTTGGGAGTATCTGAGAAAAAAAGTAACTTAATATCAAGTCATTCAAAGGCAATCTGTTTAAAATCCTCTGAGCTGGGATGGAACGGGCTCCTGGAACACGCCTGTGGTCTGTACTTTTGAATTCAATGGGGACATCGGATAGATGGCCAAAGGGGGTGACAGGCAGTTTAACCCTTTCCCCCAGACTCTTAACAACACGCAACTGATACTCCAGTGTAGCAACTGGTTGATGAAAGGGTTAACTTAAGAGCTCTGACTGGAGGAAATAAAGAAAGAAGAATTCAACATTAATATTCAAAGCTATTTCTAATTAGAGTCTGACCCATCTGTTCAGCTCTACAAACCTGAACACTGTGCCACACATCTAAAACTTTCTCAAAATTGGACACTGGGATGATTTATCTGAACAACCCAAAGATACTCCATGATTGTAACTACTGTTTTACACCAGTGAAAGGATCTGTACTTAGTTTTTCAATATAAAGTTCACATTTTAGGATAGAGGAACACATAAAATATCTCTATTTTATGCTTCTGTTAATTTTCCCTAGAGGAACAAACACACATTCAACAAAACCCTTATATCTTATTTCTTTGGGTAGAAGTCTTAACATCTGTTATTTAAAGAATGGAAAAAGAGGAAAAGTGTGGAAAATAAAGGGTATATTTATCTGCATAGTTGATACTTTGAGGCTACTAACTAAGGCCTTACCTGGAAAAAGCAATAAAAAACTAAAAAGTGATTTTTAAGAAAAAAACGTCCTATCACTAGAGATTAAATGGGTCTTGACCAATTTTGGAAATTAACCCAGTTCTTTGTCTGCTTGGGCCTGGTGCTTTTTCCTGACTCATGTGAGCTGGAGTTTGTTCCTCATCCCCTTACACTTTCTTTTCCGATCCTGAATATGTGCTACAATTCAAATCTACACACAACCTCTAACAATTGTTGCTCAGCATTTAGCCCTAACTAAAAACGCAGCATTTATTTTTTCCTGTTGTTTTAAAGGATAAAAGGAAACTTCTATGAAGTAGTACCTAATACGCTGGGGTAGAAGGTGGGATAAAATGATATTCATTTCCTCCTAGGAGTCGGGCAAAACACGTTTCCTTCTACCCCACCCTCCTCACCCCTGACCCAGCTAGAAAGGGAGTCCTGCCTACCCTCTCCGAGTTTCCTACAACCTGAGCAGTTGATGGCTCCAACTGTTTCATGGGTAGAAGAAGCATAAATTACAAAGGTAGACTGACCAAAAGTGTGCCCAGCTGACTGTGTGTCGCGCTTACTCCTCAGTGCAAAGCTGGACAAACCTACAGTTACAGGAATAGTATACAAGCTCTGATTTACACGAATGAGGAGATGCCCATTCATTTTTAGAAAGTTAAAAGCTTAGCTATCCATCACCAAACAACTACTATAAGAAAATCAGATGGAGAAGATGGAAAAGCGAGGCAGATAAAACTTGCGAGATCATTTATCAACTCCAATAACCAATCATCCAAACTTTACCTAGCTTCAACTCCGCAACCTTGGCAAAAACGACACATGTAATAACACCATAAAAGGCTAAAAGAAAATCTATGTATAATTAAGAAACTTAGTGTTATTCCCCCCTCCCCACTTATGAACCTGAAAGTAACCATTTTACCCCAACACAAATATAATGTTTAAATAACAAATATGCATCTAAATTAGAATTCCAGTGATTTTTTTTAAAACTTAAAAATCATATGATGCTTTTTATACCCATATTTTAGTCTCTGCAGGACCATGATAATACTTTAATTATATAGAACATTTTAGAAAAACTCAAATTATTTTTGAAATAGTAAAGTCTCTGATATCCCTGGGAGGTAGGTGAATATTATTATACCCAATATTCTAATGGGTAATCTGAGGCACGAAGGTTAAATGATATTCCCCCTAAACATAGTAATCCAAGAGTAACACGCCTGAACACAGGCTGCCTGATGGCAGTTTTGCTATCAGGTAACACTACCAGGGGCCTCTGCTTTCTTTTTAGCCACCAGTCTCCTCTTTCCAATTAAAATGTATTTTAAAGGGGGGCACTTATTAGATATTTGAACTGGGTTTTGAGGATTGGTTCAATTTAGACTCCTTTAACATGTCACATCTGTTTTCCACAAAAAACTGAAAATTATGTTATTTTGCTCAAGGGAGGAATCTAAATAACCATAAAAGCAGATTATGCCAAATGTAATTATCTGGCAAATGAAAACAAAACTGAAGATCTCTCAAGAATGCTACAGGTTACATGAGTGTTTTTTCCCCAGTATCTGAAGTCTTTCTACTTCTAAATTTATTAACCTTTTGACAGATACGCAGCTATATGAATTCTTCAAAAATCATTTCCTATAAGAAAATATGACGCATTTTTAATGTTGACAGAGTTGCTCACTCCCTTGCAAACGTCTTCAGATACAATGCCATGACTCTACCTCTAGCCCTTCCATGTCTTTCTGCCTGCCACAGCGCCCCTTACTACTCGGCCCACAAAAGACTCTTGTTATTCCAATGCTTTCCAATGTTACTCATGCCATTTGAAGAACACAGAGCAGTGGGTTGCATCCGGGAATAGTCAATGAGTCCACTAACTTTATGTCACTTGTAATAACTGACTTATTTTATATATATATATATGTCATATATATGTAATAAAAAATATATATACACATATATATTAAGAAATGACTTAATATATATGTATATATATATTTTGTTAACATCTACAAACAGATATTCAAAGGGGGAAGATAGCATCTTGTGAAAAGACAATTTCCCAATCCACCCATTTGAATTGCCTAAAAGCAGTGGAATAAACAAGGCAGAAGTCTTGCAAACACTGAGAGGGGAGTGTTCAGAAAGGATGCAATGGTACAGCAGCTACTAGTTTTATATATATATTACACATGTATACATATATATATACACATATATATGTATGTCTGCATCTTACACACATATCCATTTACATATCAAGGAAAGGTAGAAGAGTACAGCATGACATGACGTTGGCAAGTTTGAGATTCTCCCTCCTGAATCCCCTGACTTATTAGCCTGTACTTTAGGATATCAGAGAACAGTTTCAAAAGAGGGGGGAAAAGAAAGAAAAAAAAGGCACTTAACAAAGACAAAGGCCTGAATTGAGCATGTTTTAGAGGAGCAATATAAGCATTTTTACCAGAGCTAAGAAATGATTTACAGAGTTAAACTTTCCCCCCCAAATTTTATAAAATAAAATTGCATAACATGTTTGTAATCAGTCATTTACCTACTACTGTATTTTTCTTCTGCTTCATTATTACAAAAACAAAAGCCCCCAAAAGCAAAGACACAAAACAAAACAATCATCCATGCACAACAGAAAGTAAAAGTGCCCCTTCTGAGAACACACGTCGACAGGAACTACAGTGCTGAAGCACAGGGCAAGTCTCAAGTTTGGCCTGATTACAGATTTTTCTCTCACTCGTCTATTTCTAATTTCAAACAAAACAAATACCAACGAACAAAACAAGCAAACACAACTTCCAAACCTAAATGATGATACAAAGAATACAGGGACCAGTGTGCTTTTATGGTACACTCCTAAAATAAAGTATCCTAATTCTATACGTGGGTCAAATTATGACAAAACCTTCTAGAAATAAAGAACTGTAAATTAGGTTAAAGTCAACCAATGCAGGCAAAGTTCATTTGACAAATGTAGCAGCAAATCTGATCGATAACTGGAGTTCTACGAGATGATCCCAAGGGACAGAGAGTTCTCATAATCAATGGCAGTTTGAAAAACAGTAGCATTTCCGTTTCAGAAAATGTCTTGAACCAAGTAGAGGTGGAAAGGGGTGTGGTAGAGGGCAACCAGAGGAAAAAGACCCGAGGTGTCTGCCCTTTCCAACCCTGGGTAGTAAACAATTTAGATCTGCTTTGGGAAAAAAAAAAAAAATCCTGGGTTAAAAATCTTTTCCAATAAATTGTTTTCAGGTGTCAAACCCACAGTATTCAAATGTGTATGCGCCCGGTTCTTTCTCCTACCTTGGTGATACAATAAGCCCTATTCAACTCCTATGATATTAAAAAAAATGTTATTTGGGCTAACAACATCCATCAAAGGGGTGGGTAGGCATGAAAGAATAGATTAACACAATCCTCTGATTTCCTCAGACTATCAGGCCTCTGTGACTTCAGATTAACCTTCTTCTTCTCCCCAAAACGTTTTTCCTCAGGTTGTTTTAAAACCATGATGTTTGTTACCCTCTGATCTCAGAAGCATAGGAGAGAGAATTAGAATCAACTTATAATGGAATTATTGCTTGCATTGATTTTGGAGGCTCTGAATGAGCTTGACACTTGGCTCCCAAACAGTCTCCAACGGGGGCTCAGCACTGCTGTCGCGGAAGACAGCTCTGCTGACCATTATTGCTTATGAATACTGAGGATTAGCTTGTATGTACAGTAACAGCTTATACATCAGTGAAGGCAGTTTAAAATACAAGACAGTTGAAAACAGCTTCATTTTCCTGAATCGAGAATCCCACCAAGGGGGACGTAAGTGTGCTGATTACATTTGCTCTGGGATGCTGCTAATGTTCTTCAGAGATACACACGGCTCTATATCCTTTCCAATGACTCACCATTTTAAAAAATAACATAATTTGAGTTTTAAGTGCAAAAATACAGTATGAGTCACAAGTCTCTGTGCTAAAAAATAACCAATTTATATGTTTGGTTTTTAGTAAAAAAAACTGTAAAGACAGATGACCATATAGTTTGAACACCATTTTCAATGTCATGGTCTAGAAAAGAAAGTTTCATATTTACATGTAGGACCTCTTTGACCATATTTATCTATTAAGAGAAATAAGGGTTTTTGCTTCATTTGTACAAAATAAAAGGGTAGTCTTGGTTGAAATGGAGGTGAGTTAGTGAAAATGTGGTGGGGTGGGCTGGGGGGGAGGTGGGCATCTGGCAGCAGTCCCCAAGGAATCCAGACTGAGGAGAACAGAACACAATCTCCATATATATTGACTTCTAAGAGCCAAGAGTCTTCAGATATTTTTAACGGTTAGTTATAAAATGATACCAGGGGGAAGAATTGATAATCCTTTCTTCTCTAATGATCACAGAATAATTAGGGATCTTCACATGGCATAATTCAGAATTGATGGATTTCAGAAATTAAAATGATCATTCCTTGACTTAAAGTAGTAATGAATTTATGTATGAATAAATATATGTGTATATATACCCACACACAAATGAATACATGCACAGTTATCAGCAGGAAGAGATTAATGTGCACTGACTTCTCTCCTGGGATGGGAAGTAAAACAAAGGCTGGCTTTGCAAAGGAAAACTCCTACATAGTATTAGCAAAGACTCCCCCGCCTTTCCCCCCAGATTAGATAAAACCAAGAAGTATGCTACACTGGTTAACTCAAGAATTGGGTAATCTTCCCTAATTAAAAAAAACAAACAAATTTTAATCAAACATACCCAATTCAAGTCAAACCTCTCTGCAACATCCCTTCCAATATCCTTCCAAAATATCTACCAGGATTGATACAACTTTCTTATTTGTTTTACAGGTAAACTAAGTTCTTAGAGACAAGTAATTATATCAATGATCCCCCTGAAATAATCCTTTCCCCTTACTTTGACAAGTTCTTGGAACTAAAGTTTTCAGTTATTTATTAACTTTCTTTCTATGAAGCAAGCCAATGTGACTTTGAAGTCAAAATATAGGTATACAGATCTGAATACATCTGTGGTAATTTATTCACAGTCCAATAGGCTATTTGGGACTTTTGCTTATAAAAGGAAAAAAGGGCTTGGTTAATACTCTTCTTTGAATCAACTTAAGGGTATAGGGTGATTTATAATTAAAACATATGCAAGAAATCTTGCTACTACCAATCTATGCTAATTTTTAGAGTAGTCTGTTATTATAAATGGACCAAGCTTACACCACTCTTGGGTACAGTTTGAAAACTTGCATAAGTCTTAATAGGAAGAAAAAAACAAAAGGAGAGAGATACTGATGATGAGGTGTAAAAAAATGAAATAAAATGTATCCAAACAGAACCATACCTGTCTCCCTTAACATCCTTTGTTGAATATGGTATTTGCATAAGGAAACCGTAATAACCAAGGAGTCTTACTATGTGCAGGTTTACTCACATATTGATATTGTGAGTCAATATTAGTAAATACTCCAAATCTATTTCACTACACTGGATCTAGGGAGTAAAAATACACCGTGACTGTTATAAAAAAATAATCCCTTGTACACATAATGATTCTATGGTTATTCCTCCCTTTAAAATACTATCTTAAAAATTCCAAAAATATATATATGCTATTTGAATGGCCAATGAAGAAACATATGTAGTAGTACACACTTTATACCTGTTTATATCAATATTTAACAGTCACCTGAAGTACCACTAGCTGAAAGAACAGAAGAAGTTGTGAACTGAGGTGAAGTTGGGGGCAATTTACAATTCCTCGTGGTAGGCCTGCAAGGGCTAAGAGCACCAAAGCCTCAGCCCTACATTAAAAATCCCCATTTCTCAAGAGACAAATGTGAATATAGTCACATTTTAACATCAAGAATGGAAATAAGAATTAACCAGTCAATACCAGATGTACAAATCACCTGAACAAGGGAGTTAAGTACCTGCTTCTGAATGGAAGATGAAATTGACCCTTTTACAAAAAGGGGATATCTACGTTTCGTCTGTTAAGAGCAACAGGCTCAATTCCTTGACTTTTAAAAATCTCCATGATTTAATAAGAATATATATCACTGTGCTAAAATAACTTTCCTGGAGCATCTTTAGTCCACTGGTTTTCATGGGGGAGTTGCTACACACTGGAGAAGATTCAAGTTTGTTCAGGAATTTTGAGGGTAGTATTTACTCAGATACTGTCTGTCTCAGACATAGTGTCATTAATTCTTTTTGTGGCAGATTTGCTGCATAGTCCGCTCAAATAGACATGCTCGTTACTCCTGACAAACTGGCCTAATTCCGATATATTGACTTTTATTATGAATGATGTCTACAAGTGTTCAGATCCAACCCCCAGGATGGATGGAGTTGACCCAAATCCTCAATTTCTTTCTTCCTCCCCGGGGAAAAATCAAATTTGTACTTCTGTGGGTTTGACAACTGAGTCTCTTTCAAGTCAGTTAATATGGTAACTTTGTCTTTCTGTAGAAGAGACCAAAGGTCACTAACTTTGCAAGAAAGCGTTTCTTCCTCCTGCACCTGGCTTTACTCAAGTAATGTTTTCTTTTCTTTTTCCTCCTCACCACAGTGCTTGGGACGAGAGAATGTAAACATCGACAGAACAGCAGCCCTATGACTACATGAGTACTTTCCCATCAGGTAGATTCCATCAGCCAGCTGAGTGTCCCATCTCCTTTGCTTGTTGGGAAGTCACTGAGATTTCCGTGGTAATTTAGTGTCCCCTTTACTTTGGCCTCCATCTAAGAAAAGAGATGTTTAATTGGTACGGGTAGGCATGGTATACAAAACAGATAAAAACAAACAAAGCAAAAAGAATAATTAACTTTAAATTTTCATGTGGATGACAGTGCTAAAAAAATAACCTTCATTATCTTATATCGTACACACTATAGCATTATAAAGGTTAAGAAATCAGAGGAGACAAAAACTCAACAAGAATGATCCTCTTATCTCAAATGACTGTGGTTCAATTGGTTTTCAGTGTCCTACAAATATGATTTCAGCAACTATTTATTATCTACCTCATAGCCAACTGTGCCAAATGCTGTGAGGATTATAAAGGAACATAAAAGACATAATCCTCACCTTCAAAGGACCTACCATGTCTTTTGATTCCTTTTGAAGACATGGTCAGTTTCATTTTTTGCAAGTGAAATTGAATGCCCTAACATAGCATTTGGTAATTCATTCTCAGTTATTTATGTAAATGAATGGGGCACAATGGTAGTGAAAAATCCAGTTGAGTCTTTGTTTTAGTCCTAACCTGGCAAAAATTGTAAGTGATAGGAAAGTCTGTTATTGGGAACAATGGTTTCTAGTTTTACATATGACCCTTTAACCTTTACTGGGAAAATGTGCTTACTCTATTTAAACTGGGCAAGAGTAGGGACTAGTGATTTTGAAAGCAGAAAAAATATAAACGAAGTTTCTAATATGTCATTGCCTTAACAAGGAACATGAAGCACCCCCCCACACACACACACACACACACTTCACCCCCCAGCCTAACAGAAAAAGACAGGGGAGGCATGGTGGAAATACACAGGTGAAAAGGACAAAATATTATATTATAATAATAATCTTAAGGCGGGAGAAGACCACAAAAGTCACATTGCTAGGTCTACTCATGTGATTTCTAAATTACTCTGGTAGAACATAAACAACAACAAAAACTGCCTCTACTGAATAAAATGTATCAATGAAACAGGATGATTACTTCAAAAGCTGTATAAACAGAATACTATTAAAATAACTTTGGGACAACATCTAAGGAATTGGCTTTTCCATTTATAATATTATATGCTTGCATTTGTAAAGAGAAATGATTTAACATGACATGTAATTAACTTTATAAAATGGCGAGGCTGGATTTTGCTCAAGAAGCTTTGGTTAGTTAGCAACATAAAATACTAATAATAGCTGCACACTGAGTCTTTAGACCAGGGTTTGGTCCAAGGGCCAACTCTGGCCTGCCACCTTTTTTTATAAATAAAGTTTTATTGGAACCCAGCCATACTCATGTTACATATAGTCTGTGGCTGTTTTCACACTACAATGACAGAGTTGAGTAGTTGTGATAAGATTATATGGCCTGCAAAGCCTAAAATATTTACTATTTGGGCCTTTACAGGAAAAGTTTACTGACCCGTCTTCAGATAAAGTTAGAGAATTAACATTAATAGAGCACTTAAGTACTATGCTAGAAACTTTACATATATTTTCATTAAATTCTCATAAGAAGTCTATTAAACACATCTTGTGCTGGTTTACAAGAGAAGTGATGCTCACACAAAAAACTTGCTGAAAGTAGCAGTCCTGAATTTCAAAAATCCAACCCTGATTCTCAAACTCAAGTGTCTTATACTTGAAAATGTTTTCAAAAATAAAAATTGTAAACTTTTTCATTCCAATTCCTTGGAAAATACTGACAGTCATGTTTCCTTTCTCTCTCTGGAAGAGTGGTGCTGCCCAGACTACGTAAGAGAATCCATATAAATGCTGGACTACTGCGGGTGTGCTGAACCACGAGAATCCTATTTGTCTAATTCCTCTCAGGTCCACACCAACATGCCCCGCGCACACAGCCCTAAGGTGGACTCATTATACCAAGTGTTGTCAACACCCAGGATGGAACTGTGTTAGTCACAGGGCTTTTTTTTTTTAGCTGAGCCATCCTGCCACCTGTTGGCAGCTCAGCGGCAACTCTGCTCGGGCCGGGAATAGAACTGCTGTTGCTCAGAGCTCACATTCTTGAGCGAGCTCTTAACCAACTCAGCCGGCCCGCCGCAGGGCTATTTAAGAATTAAAACCCAATCAAGTTTAGGAAGAGAAGGACCGCTGAAGTTTATGCCTACTTATGTCCCCCATTTGCACAACTGTTTTATATTCATTCTCTCAAAGGGTGAGTCTGAGGCAGCTTACCCCTTAGGTCTTTTACTGGGCTAATTACTACCTTTTGCCCTGAGATTGCTACATAGCTCCCACTTCCACAGTGTGGCAACTATAAACTTGCTCAAAGATAATTCGAAATGCAGTGGCCAAGAAGAAAAAGTGAGGCCCCAGGCAACTTCCAAAGTTAAGAGGGCAGCTGAGCCATTCTTTCTGCCCAAAAGATTGAACATGGCCTTCAGAACAGTATGAGCAGTCTACCGAGGTCAACTACTAGTGAGAGCAGGAACATGGGAGGCCAATGTGGTATGCCTAGTGCCAACTATCTAATTTAAGATGTCAGAGTGATCTTGTTGGGAAGCAAGTATATAATGTAGAGTTTGAATCATGTTAATCACTGCTCAGAGGCAGAAAAGTTCAAAGGTTAAGAATATTGGCTGTGGAATCAGACTTCCTGAGTTTCTATCTCAGATTGAACAATTTAGTGTATCATCCTGGGCAAGCTGCTTGTCACGGATTCAGTTTCCTGATGTATACAATGGGGGTTGTTCTCTCATTCACAGGCCTGTTGTAAGGATTAGCTGAGCTAATACATGTAAATAGTCACAAAACTATCTGTCACTCAGTAAGCTTCCAATCACTCAATGTAAACTATTATAATTACTGGACATGACTTCTAGACATTGTCGTATGAATCCTCTTCTTTATCATCATTTCCACGTAACAAACACCTTCAAAATGGCTCTCTTCACATGTAACAAAAGGTCCCATTTACTTAGTCCCTTTCTCTTACAAGAAGTTTGCTGCTAATGAGGATTCAGCTATATAAGAATGTTTTTTCCAACCTTTGTCATTCCATTCACACTGCTTTCAGAAAAGATTTCTAGTCCAATCTACATCGCTATATAAAAAACAAAGAGATGAAGAAACAGGTGGCTTTCTTACCATTAAATGCTTGCTGTAAATGTGTAGGCAGAGGTGAGTGGGAAAGTGTTGCTGCATGCTGAGCTCCTGGCTGTAAACCCTTTAGTAAATCTGAGAGGAAAACACACTTGTCAGTGATCTTCTTCAAGCTGATTGGAGCCCTCTTAGATCAAAAATGAAAATTGTTTTGATTTTTCTAATGCAAGCACAGCCCCTGGCTTCAAAGGCCTTCTGAGAGTACATACATTTTTAAAATTTACACATATAAATGTATATGTGTATGCAAATAACCCAGCAAATTTGACTTCCTCTTATTATAATTTCATTAAGATAGCAATGTGGCACCGTGGTTCCTTTAGAAATGGTAAATAAAACCTCAGAGTCCAGTAATTTGACTTATTACATATAGACGAAATAAATGGCATTCTTTAAAAGAAACGCCCTAGCCGTCACTAAGTCCCCCGGGACCGTTCGCGGTTCCCTGTTCTGTCCAGCTCGGCGGCCATGTGAGTGGAAGGGCCACTTACTGTGGGTCAGGCTGTGGTGGAAGGCCGCTGAGGTAGATCCCGTCGTAGCTGTCATTCCAGCTGTGTCCGTTCCAAAGCCAAGTAGCTCCAAGGGAAACTGGAAGGGCATGGTCACTGGAACAAGGCCACCCAGCATCCCAAGAGTCACATTTTGATTTGTTACAGACAAAGGTGATGTCATGAGAGTCAGAGGTGAGGCATTAGCCAATAATGACGCTCCTGCTGTGGACTGCAGAAACCAGGGGTCAAAATACATAAGAAAGCAAACCTTCACCCTGAATTGATTCATTTCACATCCTCACGGGCACAGGCTGTGTCTTACATCTGCTCTAATGGACACTTTATGGGACAGAATAAAGACTGGCGAAAAATACATTTCAAAGAGCTACCAATATTGGTTTTGGAAATAATTCTACATTCAGTTCTTCGTCATGTTTAGACTCTTTCTTACTTTAATGCCTGTATGAACATCCATTCACTCTCTTAATCCACTCATTTGTAACCTTAAATCCCCACTTTTGCACCTAGCCCCTAGATCTAAACCCCTAGTAATTAATCCCATACAATTTCAATGTGGCCCCTGAAAATGCTCAGCTATTTTACTATTTGTCTTACACTCTTTCTTGGCACAATCCTGGCAGTTGCTGTTCCAGACTATTCCTTTGTGAGGTCCGCTAACTCAACATCCTTTACTTCCATCATAACATCTTAAGGAGATGAGGCGATCCTGGACGTTTTTCCTCATCATCAGCCTTCCCTGCCTCTTCTCCAAAAGTTAACCAACCACCTGACCAAGTCACGAATCCCATCTATGCAGAACTTTCTGGTCCAAGTACCTAGTAGTGCAGCTTTCGCATGTTTCTTCTGCCTTCTCATACAAGCTCTTTATAACCACAGCTATTCCTGGCTCTCCCTCAACCCCTAGAAACAACCTGACGCATCTGTATTCCTTTTATTATCAAACTTATTGAATGACAGCCTCTGTTGCCCACATTATTTAGTTTCTCCTTAATCCCTGGAAGCTATTTTCCATTTCTACTACTTTTCTGAACTTAGGCACCCTAAAGTAAAAGGTAAATTAGAGAGTGTTGTGACACTCCCCTCCCTGGGCTTTAATGCTATGTTTATGAATAAAAACACTTAAATCAGAAATATGCTCACATTGGTGAACTTTTGAGAAATTACTTAAATGTACTTCATTAAGCTAATTTAATTCTTTGAACAATTTTCTGTACAGCAGTTAAATAATTTTTCCCATTTTATTTCTTCTCTGTGTGCTTATCAACAAAGATTAAAATAAATTTTTCTCCTTATCAGGTATTATCTATTATAGTTTCTGCAACTGTGAGTTTTCTTTTGTAGCCTTATTTTACCAACTCTAAATTTCCCCGGCCAAAACTTTTACATGTTATCGACTGTCAGGTTTATTTTTATGTGTTGATTATTCTACCAGTAAATATTACTAATTAATAAAGGGCCGATCATTTTATTTCTTAATGTATGAGAAAAATGTAGGTGACCTGCCCATACATATACGTCACATTACATACATTTATACATGTAATACAAATGTGCCACTGCTGAACAAAAACTGAAGAATGCCTTCAAGAAGCTTTCCTTTCTGCTTCTGCCACTCTCTCCAATAGCCTCCCCTTTCATTATTTCCTTTATTTTTAATCTCTCAAATTTATATCTATAGCTCTAACCTCTCATCTCAATTTCAATTCTGTACACCTAGAAGTTCAGTGAAGAATTTCACTCAAAAATCTGGCATTTCCACAACTGAACTCATCATCTCCTGCGATGTCAAGTGCTATCAATAGCCTCAGTCTTTCCCACCACTCAGGCTTGAAACCATAGTTTTTAGGCATCATAAAGTGAAGGATAAGGTGAGCTCATGGGCAACATACCCAGTCTTTCTTTTTTCTTTATTTTTTTAAGCTGAGCCATCCTGCCACCCGTTGGCAGCTCAGCGGCTGCTCAGCTCGGGCCAGGCATCGAACCGCTGTTGCTCAGAGCTCAAACTCTTGAGCGAGCTCTTAACCAACTGAGCCACTCGGCCGGCCCCCCAGTCTTCCTTTATTTACCACAACTTCCTCCAACACTTAAGTACACATCTTTATCACTTTATGCTTGGACTTGGACTTTCGTCTTTCTATTGTGCCAATCATGATATATAAAATGGGTGCATTCAGGAAAGAATTACTAAGTTAAAAATAACAATGCTTTGAAGTAATTTGGATAGACAGGATCCTGCACCAATTTAAGAATTAACAAGAGTTCTTTTTTCTTTTTAATCATACTTCTATTATAGTCTCAGCATAACATGAGGCACACACTCCAAGGTAGTGCACCCCAAGTGGAACCCCCTAGTAAGAAACATTAAATACTACTAATACGGAGAACTCAAGCTTTTCTGGAGGAGGCTAATTTAAGCATTAAAATAGGTAGAAAATGTAAATTAGGGCAACTTCCAAAATTAAGTAACTGAGTATTAGCAATAAAAAATGGAGCCATGCCATAACTGTCTAACATTTTGTCCTGTCAAAATACTTCTATATCTAATTTTGTTTATAAAACTAAAATGAAACATCAGATTATGTTACATGGGCATTTATAAATTTCTTTCTCTTAGAAGAAAAAGACCTTTCAAAAGTGGGGTATCCCACCATTAAATATTATTTAGAAGCATACAGGAGAAGTTGTCAACATGAAGTAGGAAATAGCTCAGGATAATGCCCCATAATAAAAAATACTTTCTCTAACCTCCACATTTCATTTCCAGGGGAAAATATGAAGGGAAACCTAGCTCTTCCTGTGGTGGGCATTACATTTTTTTTTAAATCACGTTTTATTTTGGTGAGTGCACCTGTCCCCCATTCTCTACCATACCCCAAGTGATACTTTGAAATATCACTCAGACCATGCCACTCCCCTGTAGAAGACCCTCCAACAGCTTCCCACTGTGCACAGAAAAAAATCCCAAGTCTCTACTGGGGCCCAAGGTCCTCATCACACAGTTCTGGTTTGTCTCTAACCTCAGCACCACCCCTCTCTTTCTACTCCAGCCATGTAGGTCTGTAAGTCAGGCTGTTTCCTGAGGCCGTGTCTTCACACCCACCATACCTCTTGCCTGGACTGTTTGTTCCATGTTATTTCCAAATGGCTGCTCCCGCTCATTCAAGTATCAGCTTAAATGCTGCCTCCTCAAAGAGGCCTTCCCCAGCTCCCTTATCTAGTATGTTAGCAACAATCAAACTATTATCATATTACTCCATCTTATTTTTTCATAGCACGTAACATATTTTTAAAATGTGTGTTTTGTTTATCTTCCTACCTAGAATACATGCTCCATGAGAGGAGGAATCTTGAGTATGTGTCTGCCCTATTTCCCCAGCACCTAGAAGAGTGCCTGGCACATATTAAACACTTAATAAGCATTTGCTTAATAAACGAATTCTGTTTGGAATTATAAAGTGGCAAATACAAGGAATCATAGAAAATCAGTAAGTTGAAGGGCAAGAAAGAAGAGGAACACCTTGAGTAGAATGTTATTAAATAGAAAGCAGGTAGAGGTAATGATGTGAACCCAGAAAGATTTTAACTTCTGTTACACTCAGGACCTGTCACTTTCACTCTACAAATGAGTATAAAGCTGAAGGTGTCTTTCAGACAGGATTTGACTGTTTTGCAGGAACAGACAGGAAATCAGTTTTTAGTTACTGGAGTGCTAGAGTGACAGGATCTACAGGCCACAAGGTAGCTGGTAAGATTTCAGTGAGATGATATGTTAAAAACAAAAACAAAAACCAAAACACTTTAGGTTCATCAGAAGTTAGAAACATCCTTATTCAATTATTGACCTTTTCTTCAGTCAAGTCAGAAAGACAGAACAAAAAGGATCAGATATGAAGGCAGGAACACTAAGGTCTCCAACTCATAACGCCATTATGGAGAGGAAGAAAACCAGGAGGGAATACTTTTCAGGAACACAAATTTTGCAGTACAAATTCATGCAGACAAGCTAACTGGTAAACAACTGGCATACCAAGTATGCGGGTTCTTTTGGGATAAATGATCAAATACAGGAAGCTTTTTGGGGAAAAAATAAGACTGATAGAGTCTAGAGATAACAAAGGATAAAGAAAAAAAAATGAAGCAAGAGAAAAAAATATTTTTTTTAACTCCAGGAAAAAAAACAAAAATTTGTTAAGACAACAAATGAAACTATAGTATACGCTATTTAGCTCAACACAGATATTATACACAGTCATGGATTTAATGAAAAATTGTAATTTTACTCTTTCAGGAGAATGGAAAAAATATAAGAGCGCTAAAAGCCTTATTTATCATAATGAGAAGTTAAAGACAATACTAAACTGAATAAATTAATAAGAGTCTTCAATTCATTCTTATTGTTTAAAAACACAGAGAATAGCTAAGAGAGTTAGTAGTAGTTGACGCTAGGAAGGAGGATATGGGGCAGGGAACTGCCATTTCTGTTTATAATCTTCTTACCTATTCCTTTGATCAAATTAAAGATTAATTTCAAAAACAGTCAACATTTCAATAAAGGTAATACAAACAGGAATGTAGACTCTCAGGTCTTAGTTATAACTTAAATTTTAACATATAATCCCTAATCAGTTTGTTTTTGGTTATTTTCAAATTTCTGATAAAAGTAAAATTATATACATAAAACATCAGTTAATCCTAGATTTCAATTAATAAACTATCAGATTAATGGAATTTTGTTCTATATTAGAATTCTGGAATTAATTCATTTCTAAGCCTATGGTAATGGCACGATGATGATTTGAGTTTTAATTGTATATTGACTACTAATGCTTAGCTTGTATTGAATAGCAGAGAACCTCTATGAACACGAAGGGGAAAATTCTTTCATTAAATATTCCTATTCCACATAAATAGGACCCAGTACAAAGTTAGAGCACTTTCTTAGACAAGAAAATTCCATAAACCAATGTCGTTTTCAAAGAATATTTAAGAACCTAAGAACACATCATAAATTATTAATTTTTTAAAAAGCTTGTTATGAAACAAAACATTATGTAAAATCCACTTTCTTGAAGAGTCTAAAAAAGTACCAGGAAAATATACACAGTGGTGGAATAAATGGGTGATTTTTATTTTCTTTTTGTGAATTTGCCTACAGTGCACATGTATTACTTTTCAGGAAGGAAGAAAAAAAAAAACATTAAAGAAACCAAAACAGTTAATGTGAAGTCTCAGGATAGAAAGAAGTGGCAGAAAGATGAAAACAGTAACAGAGAAAATGATATGGAAGGCAGAGATGAAATATATGAGTAATAAAGAGTTCTCAAAAATCCCATGTCAAAAGGATCAGAAATAATTATCAGATACATAATAATAGAATGAAATATTTTTGAGCTGAAAAAAATAGCCAGGTCTAAAATTGAAAGATGTTACCATGTTCTAGGCACAAAATTAATGAAAGCAAGATAAATCTAGCCAAAGTCTGGAAACACTTGAATTTCAACACAGAAGAGAAAAATCTTACTAGCGTTTAGGCAGAGAAAACACATTACTGATAAGGGAACAAAAATCAGGATGGCTGCACACTTCTCTACAATCCTAAATACAAAGCAAGTCTCAGTTGAGTGTGTTTAAAGAAGTGAGACACTTAGTGATCCAAGAAGTCTATTAAGTGTGTCAGCACAGAAATTATCAGGTATGCAAGAGTTAAGGTAAGACAGCTTTCACATTAGCCTTCTTGAAAAGATTCCTTGAGTGAGGCACTCCTGTTAACTGAGAGAGAAATTTAAATTAAAAACTCACAAAGGGGAAACTCTGGTATAAAAGGATTACTGATACTAATCTGACATCGAGAACTATGTATGAATAACTGCAAAATTCATGCAAAAGAAAAATTTTATTCAAAAAGACAAATGGTGAAAGGAAAAATAATATGAATGTATAAATTTAACTAAAAAAAAGAAAGAAAGCTGACAGAGAAAGGGTATTAGGGTGGGGGAGAAAGTAGTGAAGGTATGCTAAATTTTAAAGTTATTCCTTTGTTCTGGACTTTAATAAGATAGTTTTAAATATGCATTTTAGTTATGTCTTTCAAAAATTTAAAAAATTAGCATGTGATACTTTACTGATAAAAGCAATAAGCTATTTAATAAACAAGCTATATATTATAATAAGGTTATTAAATGGACTGACAAGATTAGAAATCTTACATTTTATCACATGAACATATATAACATACATACCTGCACGCTGGCTGTTACCACTGAAGACCCTGAGGCAGAGGATGGTCTATGTGGAGTAGACAACGGTTTAGTAGCACCCTGTGTTCCACTTCCTGTTCCCCCAGATAGACTAGTCCTATTAGCTCCGCTTGAGTTAAGGTTGCTACCTCTACTGGCAGGTACATTCATTGCAAGTCCACTCAAGCTATTCTTCCCAACAGTTCCAGTGGATGATGAGTTTGGTAGCTTTGAAGAGGCCTGAAGATTTTTTGTAGACGCAAGGCCTGAAGTGCGATTAGAGGGCAACAAATTCAAGGTCGGAGACTGTCTGCTGATGTTCATTCCACTGGGCTGTTTATGGACTGGGTTGTTACTGCTGGAGTGGCTACTCTGGGCTACTAGTGCATTTGGACTGGAAGAACTTGGGGATACAGTAGGCTTGGGAGTCGGGTTGGATTTAGAAATAAGTTTAGTTGATATTGAAGGCTTAGCTGACAGAGAGGGCTTGGGTGAGGCAGAAGGCTTAGGTGAGGGCAGGGGCTTAGGAGATGTGGCGGGCTTGGGGGATGCGGCAAGTTTGGGGGATGCAGCCATGGAGAAGGGAGATTTGAAACCCTGCGTGGAGATTTGTGACACCATAGCCTTGGCTAAATAGTTACTGGAGGTAGTGGTGCTAGGTACTGTCCTAGAAACCAGGGAGTGGGACCCTTGAGAACCATTTCCGGGTGAGGGAGTAGATACGGGAAGGCGGTACATAAGTGTCTTATCGAGAGGCTTAATAAGTGAGGATGAGCAGGAAAGCTGGGGATTATTACTTAATTTCACCACTGGGTTGGTCTGTGATTTACTAATGGTTGCTTGTAATGGAGACACATAATTTTGTTGGACAGCTGAATGCTGGTGCACCTTGGTTACTTGTGTTAACGAAGAAGCATCTTGGGCCTCGGATGTTCCCAGAGCATGAGAGGAGGCAGCAACTTGGGCTTGGGAGGAAGAGGAGACATGGGTCTGCGAAGAGGAAGCATGAATCTGGCTTGACCTCTGTAGTCCTTGTTGAAGTAGCCTGGCTGGCAAAGGTTCTAAGGAGACTTTAGGGTTCTGAATTGAAGAACCGGCAATAAGGCCTGACGAGATGCCAGTATGAGCTAAATCCTGGGGTTTCTTTGGTACTGGTCCTGTGTGACCAGCAATAAGACTTGACGAATGTGCAGTCTGGGTAGAATCTAGTTTTTTGGGAGTAGCCAGTGGCAGCTTACTCATGATACTTGCTAATTTCTCTTCCCTCAGTCCTGGACGAGGTTTTGCAGTTGGCATGTTTATCCTTGAGCCAGCTGGGGGGCCCTTGTTCCCATTGTTGATAACAGCTAAAGCTTCAGAAACAAGATCTAGTGCGGGTGGGTGGAAAGAAAGGTCTTCGTCTAGTGAGTCATCAAGGCAGATCGTCTCCTGGGCTGGTGTAGAGCTGGAACTGGTGGAGGCCACAGCAGACGTGCTCGAGCTCGCTGAAGGACCACCAAGTGAGGCCACCAAGGATGCAGGAGTTTTCTGGTCCTTTTTTGGACTACACTCCTAGCATAAACAGCATTATATCAGAAAAGAAATAAAATGATTAATACAAAATTATAAAGTATTATTTTGAAAGGACTAAGAAATTCTCATAATGATTAAAACACTACTGGGACACTTCTTTAGCAACAGTAAAAACCAAAATATTTTTTGAGAGGACAGAGCTCTAGAATGAATTGTCCTCATAAGCCTAACTATCTGATATGTTGCACACAGCTCCATACCGTAGTAAGCCATTCTAAGGCTTAAAACCAAACTGAAGGAACATTCACATACTAGTCACACTGTTGATTAAACTCCCCTCCCCTGCCCACCTGTGTCAGATCTTCAGGTATTATTCCAAATACATTTGTTGAGAGACAATTCTCTTCACTCACCTTGCACCTAGGAGGAACTCTGCCTTTATCTTAAGACTCTACCCGTCTTGGGTAGTATGCTTTGCTAGGATACTGACCCTCACTTTCTGCTTTCTTGCATTTCTACCTCTTTGTATGCCCTGTCCTGTGGCTACCCATAGCCAGTATACAGAGAAACTGGTACATCGAAATGCCAGATGAGTCAATCCGAGTACACTTAAATTATGTTTTCTATTCATTATTGAAGAAGTCATTTGTATTTTTTTCAACATATATTTACTAAGTGTCCACTATGTACAAGGCACTGTGCTAAGAAAAGAAGGGAATTAGGAATTAAAACTATGGCTACCTATGAGAATACTTCTGTTTTTTTCAAAAAAAATTAACTTTCTTAAAATTCAAAAAAGAGATAAGAGGATTTGAGCACACTTTAAAATATTCAAAGAGCAAAAGAATTAAAAAGTAACTTTCTCTTAAAAGAGAAACATAAAGTACTTACTTATCATTTTTTAAGACTAAGAATAAAGCAATTACATAAAAATGTCAAATGTTTCTTCAAAGAAACAAACAAACCCAAGTAGGCCCAAAGCCAAAGTCCTGCATTATAACGTTGATTTATACAACCACAGCACTTACCTAAGCGATAGTGGGGAAAGAATGGAGAGAAGGGTCTTTACCATCACTTTCTAAGGTATTACAGTAAACAGGCTGTTAAGAATGCTTTTACACTTTAACGCCCTTAGCAATTTTTCTAAGCTTCTATTCTAAACGCCCTGACTGAAGCCTGCAGCGTAACTGATTAAGGTCAAAATTGTCTGCTAAGATGAATGGGTAATGCAGATGAGGCACATTTGCTTCGACATGCCATTCAATTACATGATTAGTAAAAATTCCATTATTAGAAAAAGGACAGAAACTGAGGGTGAGGGAGTGTATTAGAATAATACTGGTAGCGTTACCAGTATAAAATTGCTCTTTTAAGCTTATTAATAATTTTTTCTTTATTAAAAAAACATTAAATCCACCCAAGAGAGTACTGTGTAGATTTACATTGGCAGAGAAAATTATTCAGGATATGTATTTCAGTCACAAAAGCAGGTTATCCCATTAATACACAATGTTAATTCAATTTGAATAAATGAATGGTTGGATAGATGGATGGAAGGAGGAGAGATAGGGGCAGAGATCCAGAAAGAGAGAGGGCAGATGTATACCAGGAAGTTAGGAGCTTTTTTCCTCTGAGTGAGCAGAAATTTCTGGATACTATATTAGCCCAAGAAAACCCAATCTGCTGTGTTCTGAGAAGAAATTTAAAAGTAAATCATACAGTCATGTATAGAAATCAGCAAATGGCCCCTAAGGGCAACCGAAATTTCAGTAGCAGATTAACACTATGGCAGCTAATTCTTTGTTTGGGGCTTTAGGATTTCTCTTATATATTTCAATCTCAGCTATGCTTTTAAAGGGTATCTCTTATATTTTATCCAGCAGTTCTAAGCGGTGTTAAGTTAAGCCTTACAATGTAATTAATATATGCAAATTTCTCACTGCTACACAATCATCTATTCTCCCAAATACAATGGTTCTAGGATTTTTACAATGTCTGTAAACACACATTGTAAACACACAGAGTATGGTACATGTCGATCTACGCTGAATATCATGTCCTTTTCATCTTAAGAATGCCTTTCAACATTCACCATTATGACTAATGAAAGATTTGGTTCAATACTTACCTTCACTTTGGGTTTAGGTGGAGGAATCACCTTTTTCTTTGCCCTAAGACCAAAGATTAAAAAGGAGGCCATTTCAGTAGCAGTTAGGTCACTTATTAGGAAATTATAACATATAATCTTTTAATTACATGGGTAAATAATTTCTTCTGCTATCTGGAAAGCTCAATGAAGGAAGGAACTGTATATAAGTGCTGAATTTATATGTGACTATACAGCAACATTTCGCCAATTTTGATAAACTAGAAGAAAGGCCAAACAATTAGTAAAACAGAAAATGTAGATAATAAAGTTTTTAAAAAATATTAAATGTCAATAAAGTAAAATAAAAATAACTCAAAATAGGCTAACGAAGCTGCCTAAGGAGATTCACTTCAAAGAACTGGTAAGAATTTATAATTATGAGAAAACAGAGGTTCAAGAAACTTTAAGCTCAAATTAATTCATGCCAAGAAGTTGTAAATAAAGTGATATTTAAAAAAAACAAAACAGGGCTGGCCAAGTGGCGCATTAGTTAAGAACTGGCGCATTAGTTAAGAACTGGCTTGGGACCCCAGAGGGCCCTGGTTCGGATCCCACATATGAGGGCCAGTGACACTACTGCCCTCTAGAGCTAAGATGCTGAACAACAGCTCAACCTGGAGCTGGGCTGTGGTGAGTTGCTGGCGACGGCGTAGGTTACAGCCCCTGCTGCAGTGGGTTGCCATGGGCTACCGTGTGTAGCCAGCAGCCAGCGTGAAGGGCCAGCAGCCGCGGTGAGCGGCCGTCCAGAAGCCGGCAACTGATCTGCCTCGCCCGGGAAGAG